CAACTACGATTTTGCTAGTGTGTTGCTATCTCTACCGTAAAAGGAGTAAAGTAATCAATATAAATGCGAAAGCTAAAGAGCAAGGTAGAGATATGCAAACTCCCGTCGATGACTCCGGTATTTTTACCGAGGTATCGAGAAGCGCTCAAGCTTCCCCCTAGTCCTCGTTGGAGCCCCTCGCAAGGAATCCCTCGCAAGGGCTAATCTCCTGGTCGGGTAACTCCGTGGATAGCCTCGGGCCTTCCCCACGCACAAGTGGGTCTTCGACGTGCCTTCCGACAAGCCTCTTCCGGATGCTCCCCGCCGTCTTCACTATCAAGCTTCCGGCCGAAATGCCGCGGGCCTTGTTCCCTCCGGTACACGGTGGCGGCCACACCACAACCGCGGTTGGTGTGATCTCGCAAGACTACAAGCCCCTCCGATGTACAACGATGGTGCGCGCAAGCATCGAGTGGTAAGAGGTATACAAACCTCACTAAACACTAGGCCTAAACCTAGAGCAAGCGCATAAACGGTGGTCTAATCAACCTAAGCACTTCGCAAAGCACCTACGCTAATCACCTTATGAATCACTAAGCACTATGCAAGTGGAGATCACTAAAATGGTATATCAACACCCTTGATATGTTTCCTTAGCTCCACACACCTCAAATGGCCGGTTGGGGGTCTGTTTATAAGCCCTACTAAGAAAGTAGCCCTTGGGGACGAAATCTTGCTTTTCTGCTACTGACCAGACTCTGACCAGCGTCCGGTCAGCACTGACCGAACACGTCCGGTTACGAAAACTACTCTCTGGAACCTTACTGATGTTGACCGGACTCTGGCACTCAGCGTCCGGTCACTTTGCTGCTCAGCGTTCGGTCCAGCGTCCGGTCGCTGCTGCTGACGCTTGTTGTTGCCGAGCCTCTTGATCGGAGCATCTGGTCCAGCGTCCGGTCAACTCTGTGAGCTCGTTTCTTCACGATCTTGCATATGGCTTGGTTCCTATCTTTGTGCTTGGACTTTGCTTGATATCTTGGGTCTTCTCTTGTGCTCCTAGGGTCTTGCTTATGGTGTTGATCATCGGATCATCACATCGCCTTCGTCCAAGTCACGTCTTGCACCCTATTAAACTATAAAACCACTTTCAAATTCATTAGTCCAATTTGGTTATGTTGGTCATCAAACATCAAAATCCAAAGTAAATGGGCCTAGGGTCCATTTTTCTTACAGAGGGACTAAGCGAAGGTGAAGGGCAAGCGATGGCTTGGCGATCAAGGTACCATGGCTAAGGTAAAGAAGAGAGTACTTGCATTGAGTCGGCGTACTAATCGAGCTATGCGGAGTCATATTGTGTGGAGGATCAAATTATTATTGTGTCATATGGGGAAGTGACTTGAAGCCATAAATAAAACTCACATGTGTTGAAATGATTCAAGTGATATGCTCAAAGGAATGATACAAAGATGTTTGCAAACCCTTATGAAGATATACTCATAAAGAAATGGCGTATGAAGATATTGAAGGCTCAAGTAGTTGAAATAGACATATCTTTTTTTATCTTGAGTATAGGTATGCCATACTATCAAGTACGATGCAATATGAATAGTTAGACAAGTCTCAAGTACCCAAACTAATAAGTGAATGAACCTCGAATGGTAACATGAGAGGAACACATGGCACAACATAAACACTTTCACTTGTTTATTTGGAGCTTGTTCTTGGTTGGGACTTATTGCCCTTTGAATTAGCTTTCCGAAAGTCCAATATCACCAAAATCAGAGTTCACAGTGAAAAGTTATGGTGTTTTTTCGTGTGGTGATCGGTGATGTTTTGCACAGCTGCGCCGCAGAAGTTCCACAGGAGGTTCTGTGCACAGGTTTGGAAGTTCCGCACTCTACCGGTCTAACGACTAGTTTTTGAGCTCTAACGGCTAGTTTTCTAGGGTGGTATATATACACCCGTCTCATGCCACTTGGAGGAGCTACTAATGTTCTTGTGATCATTGAGACTGTTCTAAGCCTTGTGAGACCTCTCTCCCCAACCCTATCTTTTTTGTGAGAGTGAGTGCTTAGTGAGTTGAAAGATTTTGAGTTATAGAGCAAAAGAGTTGTGTGTCCACCTAAAAAGATACTATATATGTTTGAGTTGTAGACAATAGGGGAAGAGAGTTCCCCACCTGGACAGAAGAGAGAGCAAAGGCCCACGGCGGCAGTCAGGGAGTGCGACAACGTGGGCTCTGAAGCGGCACCCGAGGACACGTCACGAGTTGCAAGTTCCAAGTTGATTGAGCAACGCCTCCTTGCATTTCGTATGGAAAAAGTGAAGCTTTTGAGCTTGAGCACTGAAAGCTGTACATGCAACATGTCACGGTGCCCAGGCCACAAATGCCCTTCACGAGGGCGCCGCACTGCAGCGTTCTTGACCTCTGGATGCGCACTGCACGTGTCAGCAACCGAGACGGGGGCGTCACGGCGACGAAAGCCGGCGGCCGCCTTTTGCATTGGCTTTCTCCTTTCTCTGACGCTAGCTTCTTTCCGGGCTCTATGTGCAGCTAGCTGCTCCTGATATAGGAGGAGTATAATAACGTGTGATCTGGGACGGAGAGAGCGACCGTACCAGAGACACCAAGACACATGCATATCCAAGGAGAGCACGACGCGTCGCCGTCGCTTTTCTTTGCCGCGTCCCGTGCGGCGTGGTGTCCCTAACCCTGAGGGAGAGAGGGTTTAGATGCCTGTGCATGCAGGCTGCAACTTTTGGAGGAAAACATGTCGTCGTCGTCCCTATATATGCCGATGCGTACGTGACGACGCCACTTTATTCACTCTGTATGGAGCTTTAGTGGTATTCCGTATTTGACATGGCACTTGCCTGCCTTGCCTTGGCAAGTTGGCATGCACCATGCAGAGCAGACGGACAGGGAAATGTGGCTACTTAATTGTGATTTTACTCAGTAACAACATGCATGGTACGTAATCTTTCTATGATAGTTGTTTTCCCCTTCAGTTCGTCATCTCATCTGATCGATGCGGCCGTCTCCAACTCTCCATGGCCACATGCCACAGCTTCAGATTTTTCCTGTTTCATTGTTTTCCGGCCAAACTAGCTTGCTCTTGCTTTTCTTAAAAAAAAAAACTCGATCCGCGGTGGCTAGACAACCCCGGGTATTCTAGCTTAAGAAGAAGATCTTCTCACGCAGATCGAAAAAACCCCCAATCGAGAAAACCCCCGAATCTCTGTCCCACCCATACACAGCTGCACTACAGCTCCGTGAGATGAGCTGGTCATAGACCAATGCTTTGGATGTGGGGCAGACGAGAGAGTCCCCCCCCCCTAGTCACTGCTTGCCGAAGCCACAAATAAAGAGCGAGTCCCTTAGCACTCGAACTCTGACCACCCCAAGGGGGAGGTACTGAGCCTGCACTGACCACTCGGTCAGCCAGGCCGTTCCCTGCTCTTGCTTTTCTTATTGCTAAAATGATACTAACCACTTAAACATCACACGTATGTAGCTCATGTTATTGTTGGATTTAATTCAGTCTGAACCGTTTTTATTTAGCAATTAAATGAAGGAAATTCAAGACCATATTTTATACTAGGTGTAATCATGGTTATTCCTATATGGGAAACAGACAAGAGGCGCGATATGCGCGGCGTGATGGCAGAGCAGTCGTGCAATGTGCACAGACCCTTTTTCCATATTGTAATTGACGGTTTCATGAGGTCATGATGACCACTATGTTTTATTTTATTTGTTTCTGTTATTAGAAATGGATAATTGATTCGTCAGTTTTATGTATTACTAGTAATGGACGATACCATGATGACCACTATCAACTGATGTACCTCGTTTTTCATCTTCGTCTTCCTTTGTTGCTGCATAAAAGGGACACTCCTTCGTTCTCTTGTCAGTGTGAACTAACAAATTCAAGATGATCTGAGAGAGCATTGCAAATTGTGAAAAGACAAACGGACCAGCAGCTGTTCTATCTCAAATAAAAAAAATTGAAGCACCCTAAAAAAAAGATCATAGAATTTTTATGGTTTAGAAGTGGATTAATTTCAGACGTTGTAGTATCGTCCCAGACATACTCACGTGGATTATTATTAGTTCAAGGATACTTAGAAAAATGAATTTGTGGAGAATTCTTTTTCGCCAACAGTTTTATCTCAGCCATTTGAAAAGTTGATCTAATGGCCTTATGGCCATAAAAATCGGGTGAAACCTTCCAGATTTTCATACCAGTAGACAGTAGCCAATGCAAGCCCTTCCTTTATTATGCAAAGAGAAAGATGACAGCTCCAAAGAGGAAGTACAAAAATGATAGGCAAGTAATAGATTTATCTCTGTGTCATCGCCTTTCTCTTTTAATTTGCTCAAATATCAATTAGTTCAAGCTTGTTTTACTAATGCATGTGCACACGGAGCACATATGCTAATCAAGGAGAAGAAAGAGTGCTGAAAATATATGCAAGCCCAAAACGAAGAAATTGTTGTACGTATAGCCGTATATAGGTGCATGTGTCTATATATGATAACAAGATCGATCATACATAACATTATTTATTTGGTGATAATTAACGTTAACTGATGTACATGTGAATGTGTGATGGACAACGACACATACATCTCTCCATGCATCGTCCCTATGCATGCCTCCACACACACGTACACATACATACAGCGCATACATATATACAAACAAATTAAACGACATACATCGATCTAGGTCTGTCCAGCAGATCGAATTATTCATCACCCTCTCTGATCGATTAAATGAGCACGTACGACATAATAACATCACAAACGAGATGAACTAATATAATCAACATACATTAACATATAAGAATATCAAGGAACCTAATAAATGATGAAACGTCGTAGCTGCATGCATGAGCGTGGACCGGCCAGTGGTGCTGCCGGCAGTGGCGCGTCGTTATCGATGTAGTCGCAGTGGTGTTCGTACGTCGTCGATGTCGACGACGACGACCATATACTGGGCAAGCGGTAGCGGCAGCTAGACGGTGAGCTTCTTCTGGTGGAAGTTGTTGATGAAGTCGGAGGCCTTGCGGTCGACGTCGCGCTCGCCGACCCACCAGCCGCCGTAGTCCTCGTCGCTGGAGCGCACCTTGCGCACGTAGCCGGTCCGGCCGTCCCAGTCGCTCATGTCGTCGTCGTACCGCCTCGACTTGCGCAGGAAGCTGAAGATGGGGCAGAAGAACGACTTGCCTCCCATGGCGGCGGCGGCTGGAAGAAGCTCTGATGATCTTCTTCGTTTAGTAGCTAGCCCTCCTTCGATCAAATAATAAGCAAAGTTCAGTGACGGCAGTGAGATCGAGAGAGCTGTACGTTTTGATTAGTGGTGGCTAAACGAGTTTATTGCTTGGATGGATCAACTGTGCGCTGGCTTAATGGTGATGAGGGGGGAGGGGGGGCACCTGGATTTATAGGAGGGGGCTGCGGACCATGGCTTGGTGCCTTGGTGGATGCAAGCTGGCTAGGGTTCTAATAATGAATAACTAAAGGTGATGGAAGAGTACGAGATGGAGGATCGCGGGGGAGTGGACGGCCAAGATCGCGCGATGTGAAATGATGCTAAAGCGCGTGTTCTACGTACGTACATAGCATCTGCAGCAGCAGCAGCCGGAGATGATGATACGATTGATGGAGGAGGAGAAACTTAACGCGGCCGCCGGCCCCCCCGGCCGGAGCGCAACGCAACCCAAAAGAGTAAAGCTAGAGGCCGCCGGGGGGCGCGCGTGGTTTCCAGGCCTCTGCTTTTGTCCAGAGTCCAGACCCTAGCTAGCCGCTATAGCTAGAGAGAGGGACGGACATCGGAAAAGAGGAAGGGAAACTGGGAAAGCATGCATGCATGATGCTCATGCAAGCGGTCGATCGAGAACGAAGCTGCTTCTGCTGCACACTGCACAGCTTTTGATCCTATCCTTGCATTGGTCCACCTTGTTGGAACATAACTCGCCGCCAATCGCTCTCTCTCACGTACAAGAACACCAATAATTAGCTCTGCTTTATTTCTATATATATCGCTATATATGCCAAAAGCCGTTATGAAAAAATATCCAGCAAAATATCTCGTGCATGCGCTTTCTTGTTATAGCTAGTTTGTTGTCATGCATGATCCTCTACATATGCAATTTACAATTATCACGAGATAAACTGAAAATATTTCACTTTTGAGTAAAGAGCAGTACGCAAACGCGCATTTGCAAAAAGCTACTTTGCCAGCCGCAGCTAGTTTGCTGTGGAAAGGCAACAGGTCAAAACTGAAACCGGGTGCGTGCCTTTGCCTTAGGTTAATCTCCGAATCTGTACCTTCTGCATGCAGCTAGCCAGCTACGACTAGCTCTTGTTTAAGGTTACCGCAAGCTGTTTCAGTTCCCTTTGGCTTTGCCTGCTGTGTCTTGCATTGGTCTCTTAATTAGAGCAATCCATCTCGGCCGGTCCTAAGCTACAACAATATTCCCAAGATGACAATATCCATTACAATATTTGATGCATATATTGCATTATTCGAACTCCGAGCCGTACGTGGTCCTGTACATGGAAGAAGAGATCAAGGTGGGCCACACACGCGCATACAAATCATTAGCACAACACTACTTGCCCTCATATAAGTGTGTGATTATCCAATAATTAATATAAGTTTTATTGTGGCTGTCATTATCACGTTTGCAAGCAGCAAAAAGGGATTCAACAAATGGAGAATCTACTGCAGGATTGTAATCATTTAGTGACCACCATCTTTTTGTTTGGGGGCACCAAGTTGGAATTGATCTGTACATCCCAAAATATATTCCAATATGAAAGTTCAGATGTGCTAGCTTAGCTTTCATCGATATGAATGAGGCTACTACATACATATACGAGAGAGGAAGAGAGGACCAGTGAAATTCCATTTCTCTGTCTCCTTTTTTCTCTCCTGATATAAAAGGGGACCAATAATATATAATAATTAACTGGTGATGGTTTCAATCAATAACTGATCAGTAGCTGCAGTTTAAATAAACTAATAACGCAGATTATATAGTAATTATCAGAAGTTGATTAAATTAGGGAGAGAACGTTGCTACCTAAATTTAAGTATTTTGGGGTGCAGATCCCCATCTAAACTATTCCCTCCGTCCTAAAATATAAGGTATAGCTAGCATTCAAAATTTATGCTAAATTATAAGATATTCTAAGTGAATTAACTCTCCTCAAAAAGCATGAATTACATGTGTACCTGTCATGTCTACCACCAGATTTAGAATACGGTAAGCATAAGAGATTTTTATTGTTGATGATGCATGGAAGATTACATGCGCCATTTGTTTGGTACTTCATATTTTGTCCTAAAATTTCTAGAATGCCGGCGGCGGCAGCGAGGACGTAGGGTGTAATAAAAATGTTATAGGAACTTCAGTTAGTAATAATAGATCGAGGGCTGGCGGCGGCGCTAGCTTATAAGGTTGGAAACTCAAGTACGTACGTACACAGTAGAGTGGTCTCGCTATTTTTATTCTGCCCCAAAAGCAGCTGGCAAGCGGCGATCTGTACAGCAGTACAGGTTGGGGGGGGGGGCTGGGACGAAGTTGGGCCAAAAGGAACAGTAGTCTCTACCTTTAGTTCGGCCACGAAACCACCAGGAAGAAGGCCAAACACTATATGTAATCAGCATATAGATAAACTAATTAACGATACAATAATGGGCCAGCTTCTGTCTAATCTTTCTCCATGCTGATGAAGAAACAATACAATATATAATGGGCCAACTTTTCTAATCTTTCTCTCTGCTGACGAAGAATACATCGTCTGCTACTTTTTCTCTTATCAGATTAATTGAATGTTAATCAAGTTCAGTAGTGACAGCTAGAGGTTATTAAGCTCAAAAAGTAAACAGATGCATGCATGTATATGTATATATATATATCATAGTATATGTACACATCCTTAACCCCTAAGGTAAGTATGGTCGGTGATCTGCATGCACCTCCGATCCTCTATACAAAATTAAAGGCTAGCAGCGCTACTGCAAGGCCAGGGCATGCTGCAAGTCGTAATGGCCAGAACGTGCTGTGTGGCTCTGTTGCAGTGTTGCATGCAGTCGATCTGCATATGGCATCACATACAGCGAGATAAAGATTGGCCTCCCGAGTCGCCTAGCTAGGTGTGTACATGCATCTCTGTCGATCGCGTATCTTGATCCTAGGTTCTGCAGAGTGCAGACGGCAGCAGCAGGCCGGCTAGGGTCCAGCGCGAGCACACGCCTGCCGGCCATGAATGCATATGTCCATGCGAGCCCCTGCCGGCAATGATCGATGTGATGCGCACGATTAGAATTTGAGACCGATCGATCGTGTGTTAGAGTTTGCAATAGCATTAGCATCGAGTTGTTGGTCGTCTCTGCCTGTCGAGAGTGTGTCATCACGGAATTATTTGAGGTAGGTGCCTAGGTAGGATGCAATCCCATGAAGCAGCGTCGTCCGACATCATAAATTAAGTCAATAGACAGAACGAAGAAGTGGTAGCAGCAGAAAATGACTTTTCAATTATGTAACTTCTAGTTTAGCGAGAGCCAAGAGAACTTAACGCAGTCACGCAAGTTGCAACTCTGTTTAGAGATGCCACAATAATATCAAGAAGGGATTTGCTATCCTTCATGTGCCTAATTTTTTCATTTTTTCCAGGCGCGGTTGATCTCAGCCGTTGGATCTTAATCCAATGCTTCAGGCTCAGCTACCGCGCCTATTCATATTCTTCCTCCAGTCGCCCCGACCCTGCCGCTGTTGGGTGAGCGTGTGCCCCCGCCGCCGCAGCCTCCTTCTACCCCTCCCCCCTCCCGCCGCCGCCATAGCGATCCTTGCTCCCGTCCCGACCTGGCCTTACCGCCTCCTCCGCCACCAGAACCCTAAGCTGCCCTCCTGCCATCCCGGCCCATCGTCTGGCCGGCCTGCCTCCCCCAGGCCCCTCCCTTTTTCTAAGGTCGCTGGAGTTGGGGAGAAGGAAGACGCGCCGCCGCCGCCAGAGAGAAGGAAGACGCGCGTAGGGAGACGGTCGCCGGCGCGTGGCCTAAAATCCCTCATATTTCAGGCGACTGAAATCTAGGAGGTGTGTATCAAGAAACAAGACCGGAATTCTGGCCGTTCTAGTGCGAGAGGAGACTTTCCGATGGCTATTCGAGGATCCGAGTGATACTTCTGCTACCTTCAAAGAGGCAGTTGTGTTGCCAAAAGAGCTATGACATATACAGCCAGATCTTGGTGGATATAGTTAGCGTGGTGAAACTCGGATGCAGTTGCTCAAGTATCAGTTTATTTTATAGTTTGCATTGCAGCAGACTATGGCGGCTAACCCTGCATGACAGGGGCTAGTCTAGTGTGGGGGCAACGCCAAGAGGTGATGCCAAGCGGATCTGATGGCCTGGTGAGTGGCGGCTACATGGCAACTAACTCTTCGTAGTAGGGGTTGCGCCTTGTATTGGTTTGGGATATCGTTGGCAGCGTAAGTGGTGCCTTCAGCAGGGTCGCCTTGTATTAGTGTGGGTTTATCATTGGCGACAACCGCGTAATTGGTGATTTTTTTAGAGTTTTGGGGCAAGGCCCCGTCTTTTAACTATGTAAAAGACACACGGCCTAAACGGTGATGATGGTGTTTCGACTTGACAATGTTGTCGTCCACTACTGGCGGTACAGTGTGGTGTTTTGGCGGACGTGGAGCCAAAATTGTGGTTTGGCGAGCACGAGACATGTTGTGTAGTCTGTGTCACTACTGGAAACCAAAAACTTTCTATCGGTTATATACACACTGACAGAAAAATGCATATTATTCTGTTGGTTAGCGCACCACCGATAAGATTATCCTGTCGCTTTTGCACCGACAGGGAAACTCTGGTTTCAAGCAGTGTGTTCACATCCTATTCTATCAAGCTGTTGCTAGTAGAGCTTTAATCAGTTGTTGCTTTGTTAGTGGCCGGCAGTGACCTAGAGTTGTGGCAGCTTGTGCTATGTGGTGTTGTTTGCCCATCCAGCCGTTGAGTTAAAGTTACTGTGGATTTCCCCCTTTTTCCCCCCTACAGGTAGCATCTCAGGGTTACTCTTTTTGTTCTTCTATATCAATAAAAACAGGTAGCATCTGTCGTTATGCCTAAAGGCGTTGAAAAGTTGCATATACACACACGCATCTAATGATTTAAATGGTACTCGAGAATGCCTTAGAAAGATTGTTCTCGAGAAAGCC